ACCGTTTTCATCAACTCCCGATGGTTCACAAGTAGAAATCGGGAGGAGCATGCTCTCCAGATCGGCATAAATGACATAAGGAACTTTCATTGATTTATTGTGTTCTGTAAATCTTATTTTGTCATTTTTTCCAGCGGTAGGGAGCTTTATTTTTACGGCATCATGTCTAGAGCAGTCCTCCATATGTGTCTTCAAATTGTCTTCGTTATGAAAGTGCTGAAGACAACGTCTGCATATATAGCATTTTCTATTATGTTTTGTAGCTTGACTGTGAACTAAACGAGATAGGTTTTTGATTAGACAGTAGTGTGAGTTCGTTCCATCTTTAACCAACAACAGGTCTACATGCACGGGCTTTTCTTCATCTGTTACACACAAGGGAAAAACATCACTATTTTCTTCAAGACCGTATACATTGATCGATAATCCTGCACGCTTTTCAAATTTTTTTACATCAGTCAGTTTGACTGGAAAATCTATCCCATCAAATAACTTGAGAAATCCATCTACGTAAGCAGTGTAGCTGTCGATCCGCTCCGGGTGTACCTTTGGAGGGTGGAGTGCTGCTAGACAACACCACATGAAACAACGCTGATCATTGTTTTTTATGTTTACAACAGCACGTTTCAAGCGAATTTTTTCTGGCAGGGCTATGTAACTAGACCCTTTCAAAGGCTTAAGTCGGTTGATATGTAAAAGAAGACATTCAATCGTTTTCATGTTCCAATTGGAGCCTTTGTGGTTAAAACTTTCCATCTCAGTCAATAGTTTTTGTTTTGCCTCATTTAACAAATCTGATAGATTAGAATCTTCGTAAATGATGATGTTTTTCGTTTTGAATTCGAAATCAGATTCGACTTTTTCCGTAATCCCTTTAGCGAACTTTGCCTTAAGGATAAGTTGGATTTTCAATGAAGTTCCCTCATCACGAACCTTTTCAATTATAAGTTTTTTGGAATCTTCAATAAAAGTTTCAACACTTTTGTAACCATTTACTTTGACATTATTGATCTCAAACGTCTTCATTCGACCTCTGAACGCCGTTTTAGACTGGATGATTTCAAGATTAGGTGGCGGCGGAGGCTTACGTGGGACTTGCACTATGATGGATGGCCGAACTATGATGGATGGCTGAACTATGACGGATGGTCGGTTTAGTTGCTGTTTTTGTATCCACGCCGCTTGGTGAGCTCTACTCCCAGTATGACGGGCCCAGTTTTTCCTTAGTAATACTGAGGTGACATACATCACAGAATTTTAATGTTTTTGTATCGGCTCTCCTGACAGGAACCTGCACGACATCCGAAACATCTTCTTCCTGCTCTTGAATGTCCATCATCTCACTAGCACCTTGTAGTTGTTCCGAAATATCCAACTCACTATGTTGGGCTCGACGACGCTTCGGTGATGTAGGACGAGTCTCGTTATCGCTGTCGTTGTCCGTAGGAAACGACCGCTTGGTAGCACTTTGAACAACCGGTGACACATGATGTTCTCCGTCAGAGACCGAGGCAACATCCAAGCGGTGTTCTTCCCTAGCACCTTGTTGTTCCTCAATATCGTCTTTATAACGTTGGAACCAACGACGCTTCGGTGGTGTAGGAAGGCTGTCGTCATCACTCTCGTTGTCACTAGGAAACGATCGCTTCGTAGCACTGACACTAGCCATCACCGCAAATCCTCGTCACACTTATAAATGGTTGAAAACTTCCTTTTAACGCACTACACAATTTCAAAGACTCGAAAAATAGCACCTCTCACAACCACCTCTCAGAGAAGACTGACGCAAGACCGGGCTGTTGCACAATCATCGAAACACATGACCATATATGGTAATGTTCTTGAACGTTCCAAGATGATCACGTGACCATAATGCATTTCCTTTTATGGTAATGTTTCTAGAACATTCTATGATCACATGATCCCAAGACAAGTGACGTCACTAAACACAGAACAACTCAACTCAGAAGACACGTAAAAATCAACATATGACCAGAAATAACACATTTGATGATTGGTAGGGATTGAACCCATGAACCTCAAAAACTCATATACAAACAATTAACTATACCATACCAAAAAGCAACATCACCAAAAATAACACATTTAGTGATTAGTAAGGATCGAACCCGTGAACCTCTAAGATCAGGGACTCACACTACTCCCACTACAATACAATACTATACAAAAAACAACCCAACCCAAAGTAACTCATTTAGCATGAACTAGATATAAGTTTAACATAATATATTTGGTGGCCTTTACAAAGGCCATTTTTTTATACTCTATGGTAAAGTTCGGTTTAAACCTTCTTTCAGCTGTTTTTAACATTAGATACATGAATTATCATTTGTTTCACATTTATTATACACTATAGCATATATATATAATATAATATAAAATAAAATAAAATATTTTTTTACAAAACCTGCTGGGTTAGAATTGAACCCATAGACCTCCAACCAGAAATGATTGGTTAGAGTCGAACCCGTGCACCTTACCAGAAGTGATAGGTTAGGATCAAACCCATAGACCTCCAAATGATAGGTCAGAACTGAACCCGTGAACCTCTAATTACATATTTTGTGGTTAGTTAGCATTGAACCCATAAACCCATAGCATATGTTAGGATCAAACCCAATAACCACACCTCCTCTCTCATAATTTACCAATTTAGAGGATCAGTCTCTGCCTGTAAGGTGCATCCAAATCAGAGGATCAGTCTCTGCCTGTAAGGTAATCCAAATCAGAGGATCAGTCTCTGCCTGTAAAGTCGTCCAAATCAGAGGATCAGTCTCTGCCTGTAAGGTCATCCTCTGTTTACATGTGACGTCATGAACACACCTCCCTCCCCGACCTACCTCAACCCACGTGGTCTCTGATCCTCTGTTTACATGTGACGTCACCTTAGTACTCAGAACCACGCCACGTACTGAGTCGCTGACCTACCTCACTCCACGTGGTCACAAATCCAAAACTACATAACTACAGTAGCAGAAAATATTGCTATTTGCACCTTGCATGCAGTGCAGCTGAGCAGCAGACAATAGAACTAGACAGAATAGAACTAGCAATGTCCAACTTCAATACTGTCTAAATCAGAGGATCAGTCTCTGCCTGTAAGGTCATCCAAATCAAAGGATCAGTCTCTGCCTGTAAGGTTAGGTTAGGTTAGGCAAAGTGAGGTTACCTACCTCAACCCACGTGATCTACACTCCTCCCTCCTCTGTCCTAGAACGTACAAAATCACTACTACTATCGCGTTCACGGACGTATATATATCTATATATATAAAAGGCAAAGCCCTCACTGACTGACTCACTCATCACTAATTCTCCCACTTCCCATTTACCTAGGAGGCTGAAATTTGGTACACTGATTCTTTAGGCATTAAATAGGAAAACTAAGTTGTTTTTATTCAGATCGGACTCTCGGGCTCCGCCCCAGTGGCTCTGGAGTTTCCCATGTTAACCTTATGAGAAATGGAATTAATGAATCTTAACAGCTGTTTCATTAAACAAGTTCTGTTCTAAGATGTTCAATAGCATTAAAGTTACAAGGATTACCAACAGGATGCAGCACTATTATTTCTTTTACATTTATGACAACAGCTAATTTGCAACCAAAAGGTGAGTGAGCATAGCGAACGAACTTCAACCTGGAGGAGAGTTAGCGTAGCGAACGAGCTAACCTGAAGGCAAGTGAGCGTAGCGAACGAGCCAACCTGAAGGCAAGTGAGCGCAGCGAACGAGCTCCAACCTAAAGGTGAGTGAGCGTAGCGAACAAACTTCAACCAGTACGTGAAAAATTGAGCCATGCGAACGAGATCATCTTGAAAATTAAGAAGTTAAACGGGGCAAAGCCCGCGGGTTACAGCTAGTATATACATATACATGTATATAAAATTTGAACGAATGGTGTTTTTGGCCTCTGGGGACATCAAAATGAAAAAGTAAATCGGTCCCGGGCCTAGGTCTTACCATGCCACCTACCATAATAGCTACTTCCCTATAGGGAAATTCGCTAAAAAGAGACTGTGTTGTACTGTAACACAAAAGATAAGGTGTACAGGGACATCTATCCTGTCACATAGATACTGTAATGTGATTCTTAGTTTGTGTAAATATTACAATAATTTGTTTTACATTTTTGATCTTATTAGGGACTTTTGTCCCTACAAGCCACTAGTTATTATTATTAACATTTGAGATTACCATCATGTTATATTTTTATACAAACATAAACATATTCCTTTATCCATATTTAGAAAAATTGAAATGAAAAAGAATTATAGTATTATTACATCTAAATGACAGTAACAGATTATCGTAATAATCTGTGTGGAAATGAGTCTACTATTATTTTACAATACATTACAAATTACGTAATAATACATATATTTTGGCACTTATCTTCAGACCGTTATGGTATCTCAGTACCTTTAGAGTCGGTCTGAAGATGGCACCATAGGATACTGAAATGAATTAACTTATTGTTATTTTATTGTTAATTAAAACGTTAGTTTTCCCTTACATTGTGTTGCTTATTAAAAAAATATCTGCAATGACCATTAGAAGGGAAAAATATATTCATTATGGTGATGATTGAAGTTTGGGAGAATGAGGGTTAAGCAATTTTTGCATCAGGGGGCTCCAAACCTGGCTAAGCCACTGTTATAGGACAACCTGTATAATTATTGTGTAAATATTTTACTGAAGCCGCCTGTTGTATTACAAGCTCAAAGCCTCTTCAGGACAATTTTTAACTGACTATCTTAGATATTGGTAGATTTTTTTCAGCTAACAACAATTCTTAATAAACATTCTATTAAGTTTTTAATAATCTAATTGGTTACAACGGTACAGTAACTAAACAGTGTAAACACAGGTCTACACATTGTGTAAAACCCCACTTATAAAGATAATCACATATGTGTCAAAGGGCTTGAAGAGGTTAAGAGAGATTACTTTTTGAACAGAAATTTGGCCATGATTACTGACCTGTGCCAAACAAGATATGTGGAAGTAAGAGTCACAGCAAGTGTTGTTGCACACCTTGATGGCCAGGGACATATCATCGCCTGATCGCACAGTGAAGCAAATGGAACACTCTCCTTGGGTTGTGTCTACCTCAGTGTCTATGTCACGCTGAGGGAACTGTGTCAATCCAAGAATCCTCAGCAGGTTAGTACACACTCCTGCATCCTCGTCCCAACCTTTAGTCTACAGTCACAATGAGACAGAGTGAGTAGTGACAGTATAGCAACAATTAGAGAAAACATTCTTATTCTTATAATGGCAACATATGTCTTATTGGACCAGAACTACAACCGCTCATGGTGGTGTTTCAATTCTCCCCAGCAACCATATAAGTTTTCAAAATATTTTGATTGAGAAAGAGTTTGAATGCTGTATGACTGAAATAATACTAGAAAGCATGTCATTTGTGTTGTTAGGGGTATATAGAACTCCTGACTATAAATTGCACCTTTCTTAACAAAACTAGAAATTACTGTAGATTTATGAAAAAATTCAAAAATATTACCATAGTAGGTGATATTAATATAAAAGTTTTGAAACATGTTAATGTTAATAATATTTGTCATTAATTTTCAAATATTTTAACTATGTATAATAAGTTTTATAAGGGTGACTTGACTTTCCAACTAGGATTACTGATGTAGTACTGTTTAAAGGATAGGGATTGCCACTCTATGGTATTCCTTGCTCGCTGGAATTAACTTAATTAATTAATCCATCATTTTATGAAACATTACCCATAATTTATTTACTACTTAATTTATGATAAAACAATTGTTTGATCATTGTATCGGTGGTCCAAAAACGAAGGGGGAGGGTGTTTGTTTATGTTGTATCGGTGGTCTAAAAATAACTCATGGAGGGGGGCCCGAAAAAATCAGCTGAATCTCCCCCCTAGCTTTTGACTTGTCTTATTCTCATCACTATATTATTCTTATTATTTTTTTATTGCATACTAACTCATTAGTAATTAATTACCAAAGCCACGAGAATTATTTTAAATATGAAAGTAAACAAGTGGTTTGATAAAGAGATTTAAAACATTTCAAGTCAAATTAAATTTTCTCCAGTTTTTAACAATAGTTATTGATAATTTGGAATACTAAACCATCACTAAAGATAAAATCAACCATTAACACATGTTTCTTAGGAAAAAAATTCACAGTTTCGCAAATGAATTATTCTTTAATCGGAAATTTTTAAACATAGCACTTCAGTTAAAAAAAAAAATTACCATGTTTTATTTCCTCTGTTATATATACTCTCAATGACAAATTAAAAATTGTACCTTTGTTGAAAATTTTTTTTTAAAATTAAAATATTCCTTGAAAAAACTTATTTTCTTTCAAATATAATGTCACTGCATGTAAAATAAAAGTGTCATATCTCATAAAAGTTTTTGATATCGAATCCAAAATAAAAAGAATCAAAATTGTTGAATATTTCAAGTAAATGGGTAAATAATCCTTAATCTAAGTATGCTACTAGCAAGTAAATATAATTTACGATGAACTAGCCAAAGTAATGCCAATTGAAGCAAATAAAATTGTGACTGAGAGGTTATGCAGAAAATCATGCAGTTCTTAAGTAATGTAAACAAAATGTTATCGCTATAAAAAATTATTGAAATTTGTTAACGTACAGGCGACATTGGGTAGTACTATGCAGACTACATTATCATTGATAAAGATCAACATGGACAACCTAATGTGGCTATAAGTGGGAAAGATTTGTAGAATACAATAAAAGCCAGATAATCTTTTGAAAAATTATAAAATATTTACAAGAAATTTTGATTATATGGAACTGTTAGGTACATTGTGAGTATTTCCATTAGTGATGTGTCAAAACCGAATCTCAAATCTCAAAACCATCAAAACTTAGGAAAAGTTTCGGTTTCGAGATTCAAAAGTTTCTAAATTGAAGATTTTGGCAGTTTTATTTTTGAAACTGTTGACATTTTTTGTGCCATTCTTATTGTTTTTAACACTGTTTCCAAACAAGCTGGTAGCAACAGAGCAAACATCACCATTAACAGTAATGAAACAAGTAAATTTTATTCTGAACTTCAAAAGGTATCTTAAATCCTATAACTGGTACAATTCAGTTTCACATCAATATTTACTAAACACAAAGAAATATTGACCATTAAATGTTCTAATTAATCTAATATTCATGCTTATGTTGGTGTTAGAAGTTTAATTATTTTTTTTTGTTGGTTGTTTATAAAAAATTATGATGTATTGGGTTTTAAGATTATCAGTCACATTCACATACTGTATTTATGTTATGTCACGGTCAGGAGGAGTCGATCTCTTTCAGTTTTTTATTGCATAATTAACATTTTATGATTATGTGTATTTTTTGTAACCTTGACCTTTGTAACCAGCTAAGTAAAAAGGTTTCGCGTTTAGGTTTTGAGATTTGAGATTCGGGATTCGATTTTTTAAAGTTTCGGTTTCGGTTTTGAGATTCGAAATTTCTGGTTTTGACCATCACTAATTTCCATTATAGGTCTCGCCACCCTAAGTTGAGGCAGCCCAAACTGACCGGGAGGGTCGTTACCGGCTGTTCCCGCACGACCCTTTATAATCCGATTAGCGACACTTCCGTGAACGCTCTAGTTCAATAATTATCATTAACAAATTTTAAATCTGATGTATAAATTTAGTCATTTACACATCGGTATTTACGGTAACGACCCTACCGGTCAGTTTGGGCTGCCTCAACTTAGGGTGGCGAGACCTATAGTTATGTAATCTTTGAGTTGACTCTTTCAAACTCATTGGAAATTATGTCTTTTATTTGTTTTTAAATAAGCTATTTATTTTTAAATAACTCCTTTACTTTTTTGCAATTGCTCGATTTCGAGCAACATGTACACTAGTTAAGTTTTATTTTCCTATCTAAATTGTAAACTGTCAAGACATCATTCATAATATAATATTGTTTCAATAAAAATAAATAAAACACCATTCATGTAAACCATTATTCCAATACAAATACGTGGAAAACAAAGAAGAATAAATCTAATGGCCTTAAAACATATTTGTTTTAGTTACGAGGTTTCTAAAACTTTATTTGTGCATTTTTCACAAAAGAATTTTACTATATAGGTGAAGCCGCACAGTAAAATATTTTGTGCTCATAGTCTTTGTTAACAAAACAAAATTTTGTTCAGAGTCTTGTTTTGAGAAGTGTTCATTATCTTTAAAAATGTTCGTACCAATACAACGTTTTATTACTTAAGATAACAAAACGTGCAATACAAACAAACACAACTATAGCAGTACATAGGCCTAATGCCCCAATATAACCCCCAAGACGCTCGCCACTAGGGTGACTCATCGCCGCCGGTGCGTCGTGTCCCCTCCACCAGTGGTTCCGGCGTTTCAAGGTCGGCTTCAGTCCGCGCACTACGTTGCCACTCTATGGTATTCCTTGCTCGCTGGTTAATTCAGTCATGATTTAATGACAAAGTTACACCACTACATCATTATATATAACAATATCAGTGGTTGTAGGCCTATATAAATAATTTTAAAACAAATCGAAATACCTTATTTTTATCCGTATCAGAATGTTTTATATATAGGAGGTTTGATATTTAATTTTTAACACATTTTATAAATAATTAATTCGGTTAGCTTTTATTGTTATTCAACTAAAAATATTTTCTTTTTTTTTTAAACTTATATTTTCACTCAGTGAGGAAAATATGAAGTGAAATCCTCATTATATTCAGCAGCTAGTTCTGTATATTTAACATTTAACTGTTCGTCTAGAGACTACGATAAAAACTCCGGGGTGAGAACAGAATACATACTACTTACATCATTCATCCCCTGAAAGTTATTTGAATTATTACAGTATTTAAGTTCCATGATACACAACTGTTTTAATATATAGGTCAGGATCTGATAGGTGGTTCGTTCTCTGCTAGTTCATCAAAATGTTTTTAAATTTTGTTAACCTTAAATGTTAAATTTGTTACCTTAGTTCATTCTCACTTTTAGGCCTAACAACATTAAACGATGTCAACATATTACTAACATTAACGTTATTACTTGTTTAATACAATTATTAAATGATTAATAATGAATTTACAGCACAAATAATAGCTGTAAACTAAGGGCGCAACGCGCACATAGCAAATTGTTTTCAATATACGCAATGACCCAGATTACAGTACAGACAGAACCAAACAAAGACTGTCACGACAGGCACCGCTGATGAGTCACCCGCATGGATCTCTATCAAAATCAAATTAGGTGATCTTCGGTCAGCTGAGTTACACGTGAGCAGGTAGTGGTGGAGGGGGGAGGGGCTGCTCCGAGAGTGTGTCGCCCAGGCGGAAGGCGCACAGCTCCTAGCCTGAAGCAACACAACCACACGGACAAGGGACAATACTGTTCAATGAAATGGCGACCATACAAAATAGGTATTTTAAGCCAAGTATGAATGGAGATAAGTGTAGGATGAGTGGCGCGATCTTGTAGTCTTGTTAGTATCTAAGGCTAACATTCCTTAGACACAGCTGTTAATTAATAGCCCATACAGCTAATGGCAAAGGGACCTACAGTTTAAAGTGGAATCAGAACCACATTTTTGCCTTGATATACACGAATTGGTCTAATTATCAGGGAAAAATTTATTATAATATAATCTAATACACACCGTCGGGTGATTGTGGTGGGCAGTGGGGTTTTGTTAACAATTCTGTTAATTAAAAGATAAAACTTCAGTAGATTTGGTAGAATAAAAGTATCTACCAACACATTACGTTCAAAAAAATTTGTCAGGAGAAAAAAACATCCGTGAACAAAGGATTGGTTTTACGGATGGTTTTAGGAGAAAAGGGTATCTCAACCTCGCGGGCCCCCCCCCCACCGCGGGGTCTGCGAGGCCGGCTGTTACGCCACTGACTGTGTAGGCCTAGTCCTAGTCAGTGCCGGATTTAAGGTACTTGCGGCCCTAGGCCAAGTTAATTGAGCGGCCCCCAACCCTGTGGTGGAATTCCACCAATAAGAATCTCCCACAGTCATCATCATCATCGTCACCAGCGATCGCAGATGAAATCGGAACATCTCCCACGGGCCACAATCACAGGTAAATCATCATATTGTCACCCACGATCGCGGAATAATCTTGAACACTTACTCTTAAACAATGGAGAAGATATT